GGGATTCCATATGAAAGGGGAAGAGGGGCTGGGTGAGGAGACATCAGTGAGGATGGGAAATAGACAGTTTTCATATATTACTACATTCTATACAAAGTGCTCTGATCTACAATAAACTTCATTTGACCTTGTAACCACAGGCAGGGTGGCGGACAAAGAATATCATTCTCTTCAGTTTACAGATGAGGACACCAAGTATGAAAGTAGTTACAGAGGCCTTCCTCAAGATCACCTTTCCCCTTCCCCAGCACCCTAGGGGTAAGACCTAGGTATCATCACTGTAGCCTTCTCTCTGCCATGCTAACAAAGCAACCCATCTACTTAAAGAAACCTCTGGCACTAGAAGACACTACCACTTCCTCTTGTTCACTGTTTCTTCCAAATACCAGTTAATGCCCAAACAAAGAAGGGACGGTAGTACAAGATGGGTGGAATTATACACGGAAAGCTTTGTTCTCAAAGTGAGGGTGGGGAATAACTGAATCTCTTCCTCCCCCTTTGTTGGGCATGTCGTGTGTGCTATGAGCATCTTATCTGGGTGGGATCCTTGTGACTTTTCATTAATCAGAGCCAAAGGGTGTAGGGCCTGGCAAATCTATGAGAGGGTTAAAGCAGATGCTATAGAGTATATAATTTGAGCAGGTCAAAAGATTTACAACCATTTATTAATATTGTCTACTTTGCAGTTAAGAAATACTTACTTTCTGTATATTAAGCAAGGGATAACGACTAACATTTGGAACACACATCGGAATGCACTAATTTCTACAGCATGGATGTCTTGCACTTTTTTAACAAATAAAGAGCCCACTGAGAAAAGGAAGGCAGACAATAATGTGTAAAACAAGCCAAGTCCAGGACAGGGTGCTTTCTTCTTGGCTTCTGAAAAAGATTAAATTCTGGTTAGTCCTTACTTCCAAGAGTATGTTTTATCATTTTCACTTAGAAATTGAGAAAAATGGGACAATGTTAATGGCTGACAAGCTGCAAATATTACCCCCTAAGCATATCTGTTTTTTGGATCTGAAACATTTTTTCCCACCAAAAATGAACCACAGATGAAGGACAAAATTTAAACCTGCGTTTTTAAAATGCAATTTCACCCTATAAAATGGATTTCCTTTAGCTCACTGAAGAATCATCCCTCACCTACAAGTCAAAAAGAAGTAAAGTGCTTGTCAAGACAGTACAGAAATCTTTAAGAAACACTTGTCAAGATGGCTAGAGAAAAATGCTTCCAAGTGATGTTTTATATCATCTCACTAGTCAACTGGGCTTTATGAAGAAAGTGTTCCTGTTGATTATCTGACTTCCCCCGTAAGCCTGAGCTCTTCCAGGGCTGGGACCTCAGCTGTCTTGTTCACGCCTGGCACATGGAGACCCTGAATAAGTATTTGCTGAATGAAAGAATATGAGAGAATTTCATGGAAAGATGCAGAGTGTAAAACCACTGGCAACAGCTTGATGTAGGAAGACTCTATGTTTTGTTACTTTGAAGCATTAGTCAAATCTTTAACTTTTCATGGCTTACTACTTATCTTTCATTTAAAGCATAAACTCTTTGATGGCAGGGGCTGGACTACCTACACTTCTGATCTCAAAGTGGTTTTTTTTTATCCTCACTCTTGGATATGTTTTATTGATTTGAGAAAGGGGGG